TCTGTCATGACACAAAGAGAAGTGACTGGACAAGGATCCTGCAGGAATTAGGAAAGACTAATCTGGCCTGAGCACTGTAGTGTGTGATCTATTGTGAGATGTTCCCAGGAAAGCCACTCTATAAGCTTAATATAGTTCTTACTGTATCCATACAAAATGACTAGAAAGATTATTAACAAGTAAATCTAAGATGATTGTTTATGGACTAAGGAAAGTAGAGGTACATCCTTAGGTAAAATTCCACCCTTCAGCGGATCTTCTAGCAAGATGAGGTCTTTGTCTTAGAACAGCTTCCCCAGAAGGAACTGAAGGTCTTTACATATGTTGATGGTGTTGTCTGACCTAGGTGTAGTAGCTACGCCTAACCTGGGAGACTGGGCTATACACTAAGGTTTCCAGACTGGGCATGGGGAGACTAGCATGAGGGACAGGAGGATATGGGAATGAGGGGTGGTGTGAGACTGGAATGGGGTGTTCAGTGAGATTGAAATAGGCGCACAGGGAGAATAGAATAAACAGTGCGACAAAGATTAGAATAAATGGTAGCTGATCACCAACCAGTCTGGTGACCCTGTTCCCTCCTTCCTGCATCTGTTGGTGGCAGCTGCAGGTCAGGGTGTGGAAGCAGCTCATGGCCACCGAATGCATGTGACAAGAAAGCGCCCACACTCTCTCACTGAATACAAACTATATTATCCCTCTGGTCCACAAACTCCTTTCTTTGCTGAGCAATTCAAAGAATTGTTGTGACATTCCTTCTTTAAATATTTCAGCATGTGTATCTGTGACAAAAAAGTGTATTTCCCCACATACACAATTATCTGTGACAAGATGGTCCTTGTGCGAATGAGATTCAACACAGAATGCGATTACCTAATATTTGATCCATACACCACTTCCCCAATTGTGCAATAATGTCTATTTGTGCTGCTTTTTGTCAGTCAAGGATCACACTTGCCATTCAATTGTCATCACTCCTTAGTCACCTGTGGAGGAGGGATGGTATCTTTAAAGACACTGCCTGATTAAAGTGGGACTAGCAGTTTTACAGTATGTCTTCAATTTGTGCTTCTCTGATTATCTCCTCAAAACTGGATTTAGGCTAAATAATTTGGTAGATGGCATATGATCAAGGTGATTTTGAGGCTTTTTAAGTATAGCACTTGAAGAGCTTACATTGGTTAGACCCGTTACAGGAACTGGCACATTTGTTTTAGGGTTGGTTTTCTTTTTTCTTTTGAGACAGCATTAGGAACATATGTTATGCCAGGGATTGAACCAAGGTCAGTTAAACATGCAAGGCAAGCATTACCTTACTCCCTGTACTATCTCTTGATCATAACCAATTAATTGCTTAAAGTGACTATGTTTTAATATAAATACTAAGTCATTCACAGACCTTTAATTTCACAATTATTCAAGATCTTAATCCCCAAGAATATTTTATCATAATATATTTCTTTTATCTCTCAAATACATGAACTCATTTTCTCCTAGGCCAGGAGATATTACAGTGTTCTATAATAAAAGACCCTGTAGTACTGTAGCACTGTCCTCTCATTGTTCATTGATTTGCTCAAGTGGGCACCAGTAATGTCTCCATTGTGAGACTTGTTACTGTTTTTGGCATATTGAATACATCATAGGTAACTTGCCAGGCTTTGCCGTGTGGGCGGGATACTCTTGGCAGTTTGTCAGGCTCTCTAAGAGGGGCGGAGGAATAGAACCCGGGTGGGCTTGGGTTGGCCACATGCAAGGCAAACACCTCACCTGCTGTATGGACCATAAATTTTCAAGGCTTCACAAAGGAGGTAGATTTTCATGGGACCTCAATAAATAGATATATTTTTCTCAAGAAGATCAAGGAGACAATGTTATGCTCATAAGAAATATATGGAAGAGGGCAAAATTTGAGGAACTGAGGGCCAACTAATTATTCGGGCAGGATAGGAGGATGGCCTGCTCTGGAGTAGTGGCCAAGGAAATTCAGGCAAGTAGAAAAATTGGAGAAAGCTGCCAAATTCTTATGCTGAACTGGGGCAACTGCCTGTCTTTGATACTTTTACTGGCATTGGGAAAGTGAGTAGGCAAAGGGAAGGGCTGGTCGTTTCAGCCTGATTTTAATATGCTAAGTTTGAAGTGCTGGTAGGCTATCCAGAAGGTGCTGTCCAGTAACTGGACAAGAAGGCTGGAGTTCAGGAGAAAAACCTTGGTGAGGAGTGCTGATTTGGGTCAATGCTGTCAAGAGCTGGAGTCATGAAGACAGATAAGATGTGGCGCAGAGTAAGGGAAAGGTCAATGTATGTGCAGAGAACTCTAGAATTATAGTAACAGTGAAGGGAGAGGGCAGAAGAGAAGGGTAGCAGTGCTAGTTCTTAAATTTGAGATTTACCTGAGGAGAGAAGAGTTTAGACAGTGAATCATTAGTGAATACATAGTCATTAACTGCAGAAAGTAAAGATAACTCGTGTGTGTTTCTCTATCTAAGCAACTAACTAAAAATTGACCTTTACAGACTTGGAGAGATCTCCTGAATCAGATCTCCAAGTCCACGTTGTCACCTGTGCTCCTGACCACCTGTAAGCTGGGGTTTAATAAAATGGGGTTCCTGAGAGCCCATCCTCAAGTTTTCTTAATTTGCCCATTGAACTCAAAGAACTAAGAGCAATGTTTGTTTATATTCACCAGTTTATTAAAAATGCTACTGAAGATAGAGATGGAGACCCAGATGAAGAAATACAGAGGGTAAGGTTTCAGGAAAACAGCTGAGACTTCCTGCTTGAGGGATACCTTAATTATCCCAGGATCTGCCCCACCATGTGCTCACAACTTTGTTGTTTTTATGAAGACTTCATTATATAAACCAGGTGAATGAATCATTAGCCATTGGAAGTTGAACTCTGTCTCTAGCCTGGTTCACCTCCCCAGGGTTCGAACTGGGACCGAAAGTTCCAACCCCCTAATCACCAAGTTGGTTCCCCTGGTAACCGATCCATCCTTCTGGGCTTTGCAGATGTCACCTCATTAACATAAATTCAGGTGTGGTTAAAAGAGTTAGCTGCAAATAACAGGATACTCCTTCCACCTTTATGAAACAGAAGATAAGACCAAAGACCTAATATCACCAGGAAAAAAGAAAGTGCCCACGGTGCTTCTGACTGCTAAGGACTAATATCCATTTGATTTTAGGTGCTCTGTGCTAGAAATAGGTGTCAACCGAATATGTGATAAATAAATATCATCATCATAAGATTATAAAAAAGCTAATAAAGAATGTGATATAAGACTAAAGGAAGTAGAGAAATGTTTATTGAAATGAAACAAGAAAAAAGAAAAAAGAAAGAAAAGGACAAAGTAGAAAGGGGGAAAAGAGGAATAAAATCTAAGTTATAAAGGGGAGGAAGGAAAATGAGGCCCAATTTGCTTCTTTGAAACAAATCACCTGCTCATTGCAAAGTAAAGGCAATTTGAAAAGAACATTTGATCAGGAATAAGAAACAATGCAAAGTGCAATGCATATTTCCCAAGCCCTTAATTTTTATTAAAACTGGAATTGATTGCTATTTGAAAGTAAGGTTTCAGTTCCTTTACCACTGACCTTCCATACTCAAGATTTGCTTGCTTCTATTTGCACAGATTTCTCTTGGGCTTTCCTGATCTTCTTGCTGATCTTCAGTTCATAGAGCATTAAATCCCAAAGGAACGAGTTGCCAGAGACTTGGGGCCCAACAGTCATTGTCATTTTATAATTCAAATCTATCCTTGAAAATGTATCTTTCTGTTCATGGGCTTATATATTCACAATGACACTGACTTATGAAACTGGAAAGATGTTCTCATGACTAATCACCAATTAAATACTAATAAATATAGTAAATACAATGCATCCACTAAAACACACACACATACAAACAAAATACACCCCCCCTCTCTCTTTCTCTCCTTGTTCAGTCTGCTGAAACCATGCACCTCATTTCCATCACCTCTATAGCTTCAAACATAGTTGAGAGTTTTGTTGTTGTTTCATCTAGTTTCGATTAGTCATCATGATATGGCGAAGAGTTTATTTTTAGTGACAATCAGTAAGGTCCGTGCAGCAGTCTGCCTAGATTCCTGACATTTTTCTAATTGTTTTCTGCAAGATGACATGCGCAGAAGTCAGTGAAAACAGAAACAGTTGCTGAGTAGTTACCAGGGCACACATGCCCTCAGCTTCTTGTACTCATATCCATGTGCACATAATGAACCCACAAGTGTGTTCATACATCCACACACATGTATTTGAAAGTTCCCTCCAGAACTTAGATCTGACTGCCTTCCCCCCAAAATGATCTTCTGCTTTTTTCACAAAAGGCAACAAAAAGAAGCAAAAAAATAATTTCCAAGAGTAATAAAACAGATCAATGGATTTTTTAAATTCCAGCTTCTGAGCATGTGTGAATACACTCATTTTATCAGGTTTAGACAGGAAAGTTCATAAGGGCATGGAATTAAAAATCAAAAATTCTCCAGATGACATTAGGATCACCTTGATTGCCCCATTACATCTATAAAGAGGCATTTATACACAAGTATATTTTTTAGATTAAAAACAACAATTTATCATGAAACTGCTGTTTATCCAGCAAATTCTCTTTCTCTCTAAATTCCCTCCCCTTATCCCAGAAGATGCGGTGAAGAACTAAAATAAGAAAACCATAATTACGACCCCCATGCCTCCCCTAGTGTCAACCTAATTATCAGTGTCCCACCCCAAAACAATTACCTGTAAGAATGAAGGTCCTGATCATACACAAGAAAAATACAAAGATTAAGATCCCATTTAGACATAACTGCAATCTTTCATTTATAAGTGGCCTCCTAGTTTAATGGATTCAATGCCTTCTCATTCAAGAAGAATATATATATCGCTGGAGAGAGCAGTGATAAATGGTGCTGCCATGACCCTTAGGTTAGAGTAAAGAAATATCATAAAATAAATCTCAATCCTGGATACTCACCAATCCTGCAATGGGGGTAGGCAATCTATTGATCTTTTTAACAAGTCCGGGCTTTATAGCATTCAGCAACCTGTCATAAAAAAAGGCAAAATGTCAAGTGAGACATAAAGCAAGATGGATCACACAAATCACCTTTATCCCAAGCTACAGTGAAACTGCTGAATCGGAAAAGCAGGGAATTTAAAGTATGCTGTAAATCTCAATTATGTGTCTTCGTGCATACAAGTGAAGAGCATTGCTGACAATAAGTTAGTCTCGGGCAGGTGAAGTTTTAGAAAGTGCAAATGTTGGGAGGGCAGAAGAGATGGAGACTGGGAGGTATCTGAAGTGGAAGGAAAAGCTGGTGAGCTGGTTTGAGACTGAGAGGGAAGTGTCTAGGATTGAAGTCAGCTCCTAACACACAAGCAAGTCTTGTTCCCAATTCTCCTGGCAAAGGCAGGGATCTCTCCAGGGATGCACAAAGTTCAGAAACCAACATCTCCCTTTGCAAATAATTTGCCAAGACTAATTCTACCTCCAGACCTTTTTGCTCTTTGCGTCCAGTGGCTTGTTAAATGTGGTCGAGCTTCACTTAAAACAGGGAAAAATATGTTTAGCAAGAGGTTAACCAATCATGTCTTCAAGATTTAAAAGCCAGTTGACCACAATTCCCGAGGTACAAAAGATATTTGGGCAAAACATTCTCAGGGCAAAGGTTGAAATCATGTAAAAATGGTAATGCAAGCAAGGGAATGCAAAGAGAAACAACTACAACAGTTTATCTTCAGGAAATATCAGTTCAGAGTGAAAAGAAACAAGGCAGGAAGCTTGTAAATTAAAACATGACTGGCATCAGGTTGATGTGGTGGAACATAGCATTTACAAACTCAGTGGTTCACAGAGGAATAATTGAAGGCAAGGGGCTACAGAAGGGAAGCATTTATTCCCACAATCAGAAATTAAAGGAGAGGTAATCAGGTAAATTACCTCAGGTTATAGTGCAAAGAGAAACAAGGCAGGTGCTTAATTCAGGGATTAACAAACTATGACTCTGGACCCACATTTGTTCCAATGCCTGTTTTTGCAAATACTTGTACTAGAACACAGCCAAAGCCATTCAGGACATATTGTCTAAGACCGATTTTGTGCTACAACAGCAAAGCTGAGCTGTTATCACAGCAGAACTGAGTTGTAATGACAGAACATATGGCCAACCAAGCATACAATTTTTTACTATTGAACTCTTTGCACACACATGCACAAAATTGCCAATCTCTATTATAATTTATGTCATATGAGGTTGTAGTAGAACCTATGCATGATGATTTCTATAAATCAGTAACAAAGGAGTCTTTGAACTGATTTAGCCAATAATCTTGGGAGTCTGGCCTATCTGTGACACTGACACACTATAGTAATATTGAGAGATGTTCCTCCTGTGGTCATGACAGTTCGGCTATCCTGTTTTCATACCATGGGTTCATTTCCTGTTCTCTGTAACTTTCACCACAATTCCACCCTGCTGATGGACATGGTGATCTTTTCATGAGCTCATTTCTTGCCTGCCATAAATTTCAAGTTTCTTAAGTGTTTAGTTATCACTGGTTTTGGAACTACTGGTATTTCAACTTCAAAAGAACTTGTTCATTCTTCTCACTGATGCCAGAGAAAACTGAGGCTTGCTCTGAGTGAGGAACTTCCCTTAATGCTGATTAATGTACAAGCAGACCCCACAGAAAAATTTCTCAGACCAGTACAGCCCCCAAAGGCAGCATTTTAAGGTTAAAATAAAAGCATGTCCAAATTTTCTTCAAAACATAGTGTTTTAAGGTACAACATTCTTATTATACATCATTTCTCCTCACTAGTTCTTAATAAGGCTGTTATAAGCTGAATTTTGAAACAGTGGTAGTGCAGGAAGGTTTTCTTTTAAGAAGGAATTAAAGTATATCCAGTAAGATGTGTGGCCAGCCCTCCTATTATCATATTACATATTATGTAGCCCTGAGATTAGTTCCTGAAGGTAACCTTAAAGAAGTCTCAGAGAAAGCATACAAAGAGGCAACTAAATTTTTTTTAAAGACAGAAATCATAAGGGTTAGGAGAGAGCTCAAAGGCCTGGAACACATAATAGAATGCCACATCATGGTCCCATGAGCACTGAAGGAGCAACCCCCGAGCACAAAGCTGGAATTAGTCCTGAATAACGGCAGGTGTTTGAGTTTGTGTGTGGGGGGCAGGGAATGAAAGAAATAAAACAAAAGAAATATAACATGCACTGCCCTATACCATTATCAGTATATTTTGGAGGTGGAATTTACCCGTGGGAGTATTCTCTCTCTCTCTCTCTCTCTCTCTCTCTCTCTCTCTCTCTCTCTCTCTTTCTCTCTCTCCCCCTTTCCCCTCACCTCCTTTCTACTTTCTTTCTTCCTTTTTTTCGTGTGTGTGGGGGAGAGGTGGAGGGGGAATCACACATGATGTTGCTCAGGGTTTACTCCTGACTCTGTGCTCAGGGATCATTCCTGGTGGGCTCACAGGACCATATGGGGCGCAGAGACTGAGTCCAGGTAGACTCTGCTTACTGAGTCTGGGTGTGCAAGGAAAGCTCCACTTCACTATCACCCTTGCCAGGAGTATGCTTTAATACATGTGGACTTTTGTCATTTTTAACACCAAGGACTACATACTGCCAGGAAGGCAGTGCAGGAATGAATTGACTCTGGAGTTCTGTGGCTTGAACACAAACAGTGGCTTGAACATTCATTTGGGATGTAATTTTGGGTGAGTCTATTAACCTCAGCTTCCTCCACTATGAGACAGAAAGATATTGGTGCTCTGATCAATGCATACGTCTCACTGAGACTTGAATGTGATCGATTATATCAATACAGAGCATGGTGTTTAGTAAGTTCTTTACAAATATTTCTTTACTTTTACATGTATTTATTTACTCTAGTTCATGGGGCTGCACCCAGTGATGCTGGTGGTGACGGGGTAGGAAGGAGCCATGTAGTGCAGGGGATTGAATCAGGGCTGGCTGCATACAAGGCACATACCATAAGACCCATGCTACCTCCTGGGCTCCTGCTTTGATGTTTTAAAGTTTTTAATACTTTACTATATTCACCTTTTGTAGAATTATATTTATATGGCAGAAGTTGTGACATAACAATAATGCAAGCGCTGGTGTCTCCAAGTGCCACTGGGGTGGCCCAGGGACTGGTCCCTAGCACTGCAGGGTATGAGCAGAGCCACATCTTCAGCTCTGCTGTTGAATCTCTCACCCTCTTGGGGAAGAATCACCGAGAGGGCCCCCAGGCCTTGGGAGGCTCAAATAAAAACAAAACAAAACTCCATAATATTAGACCTTCATTAGAAAATGAAAGTGCAACAAAAATATATATGCCCAAATGTTTAACCACAAATTAAAAAAAAGTCAAAGTGCCCTTAAAATACCTGGAATAGTTTCAAGATCAAGGCAGCTGGGGTTTTCTCATGTAAACATTACCCCAGCTCCAGACATAGTTTACAGTACACAACAATAAAAGATAACATTGAATTCACATTGCAGAAATGCCCAACACCTGTTTATCTTGTGTTTTGTATTAAACTAAGGACAATTTTTGTATATATTTGAATCAGATGATAAGTCCAACAGCACAGAGCTATGATGAAGAGCCAAGGGAATTCACTTACAACTTTAGCCCAGACAAATAACTGACCTCCTATATAAATTAAAGTCTAATTTATCTTAAGTAAATACTTATTTGTAGTATGCTGCAAAGTGAGGAAGATGCTCTTTTACATATTACTGCTTTGGAGGTGTACTCTTGCCTGTCCCAGAGAGACAGATCAGATATTCATTTCACCTTTTTATGGTAAAAGAAAAGACTCAAACAAAAGTGAAGACTTACAAATGCATAGTTCATATGCAGTATGACCAAGACAACCCTCACTCCTAAGAAGGTCATTTTATAACACAGATTGGTGTTTTACAAAGTTCACCTTCAGTCTACAGCATCAAAGAACAACAACAATGAAAGCAAAAACAAACAGCAAAAAACAAAGACACCAAACCCCAGGCCCCATGAACACTCTACGCACCATTGAAGAATGTCAAAATGAGGTGGGAACAAAAGGTTAATGGGAGTAGATTTCTGCTGGGAGATAATTAAGTGTAAAATGTGTCATGTGTGTTTCATCCATGGAGGATCCCGAGTGTCATGGCAAGACACTCTTGAGGAGAAAGTAGTGATCATAAGTTTCCTGACCACTTACCAGCAATTTCCCCACAATGTAGTCTATGCTCCCAAACCCACAGCTATGAGGTATTAACAGGTTGTTTGCGCACTCTATCAGGTAGCAGTTGATACAGTTCATCTCTAGATATTCTGGGAGACTGGCATAATTCTAAACACACACACAAAGAAGTATTTGCACCAATTCATGTCTTCTGCTTTCGAAAGTATGAAGTAAGCTGAACTCTTTTCAGGTATTTATTTGTCCAGAAATTATTTACCCACTGTCAACTGTGTGTTGACACTCTAAAGAGTATCCACACAAAGGGCCAGAATGATAAAACAGTGGGTAGAGTGTTTGCCTTGTATGTCACTGACCCAGGTTCAACCTCTCACATGCCACCGCCTCTTCACGCCACCCCCCCCCCGCCCCGGTTTCCATATGGTCGTCTGAGCACTGCCAGGAGAAATACCTGAGTGCAGAGCCAGGAGTAACCCCTGAGCATTGCCAGGTATGGCCCCAAAACAAAAAGCAAAAAAAAAATTAATAAAATAAATGGTTAATAAAATAAATAGTATTCTATTCTAGAAGGCAGGTGTGAATGAGACAATATCCTGCTCTTTGGAACTTATCATCTTGGTATAAGTGAACAGAACTAGGGGACAGAAAAGAAATCAGCCAATAAGAAAGCTTCTAAGAAAAGCTGGAAGACAAGTCTAGGAACAGGCCATGGGGATGATACCTGAAAGGGTGTCCAGAAGGTCACACTGCTGACTGCTGCCCTAAATTTAAAAAATGGCATGATCCAAAGAAGAGTCTCCCCAAATGGGCAACTACTCCTGCAGGGCACCA